CCAGGATCCAAGCACACCAGGACACTCAAACATTCCTGCTCCTCTCCAGCTTTCGGCTGGTTTGGCTCTGAACACGCTCAGGTGTGAGTGCCCAGCCTGGCACTGTGGCACCCACTGGGAGAGCCCAGGGCAGCAGGAAATCCCACGGGCAGCAGGAAATCCCACGGGCAGCAGGAAATCCCACGGGCAGCAATGGGATTTTGCTCTGTTCCCCACCTCCAGTGGCTGCTGCAGAGGCAGGATTTGGGGTCAGGAAACAACAAATCACTTCCACAATGAAGAGCTCTGGGTGTGCCCGTGAAGAGCTGCTTTAAACCCTCTCCTGGGGGGCCAGCAGTGAGTCCAAGGTGAGGAATCGCAAAATCCTGGAATGGGTTGGGCTGGAAGGACCTTAAATCCCCTCTCATCCACCCCTGCCACAGCAGGGACACCTTCCAGTGAGCCTGGGTGCTCCAACCTGCCCTTGGACACTTCCAGGGATTGCCCAATTTCCCCGGGCGAAAGAAACCTACTTCCACATAGAAATAGTAAAATTGTTATTCATAATTATTATCTAGCTAAAATTATAATATCTAAAAAGTGATTGTTGCCAATAAAATCAGCTCCATGCAGCTTTTTTAATCTTCTAAAAGTGTGAAAAATAGCAGAGTAAGGGTGTGTGTGTGTCAGCTGGAAAGAGTTTCTGTCTAATCACAGCCCCCCTGATCTGTGCAGCTCTTGGCACTGGAATACTGGGGGAATAAAAAATTCCAAACATTTGAAACATGCTTGGTCTTTCTCAAGTCTTTTTACTTCTCCCTGCCTTTGTTTGCCTTGTTTAGGAAAACCAGCTGGTGTTAATTGCACTTCATGCACCACCAGCATGAACAGCAGCCAGATATCAGGAATTGGAGCCTAATCCCAGGAATCCACTCAATTGTTTGGGAAAAAAAAAATTACATTATCACTCTTCAGAACAGCGGTAAAATGAGGGAGCAAAAGAAAAGGCAGGAAAGAGACTGGTGGGGGGTGAATGGGATTAAAATAAACTACAATGATAGAGAAATGGAGATGTTAGAGGGTGGACTTTCAAGATTTGCTGTATGCATCCCTGGAGTGCCCAGGGCCAGGTTGGACACTGGGGCTTGGATCCACCTGGGGCAGTGGGAGGTGTCCCTGCCGTGGCAGGGCTGGAATGGGATGGGATCTGGGATCTCTTCCAGCCCAAACACCTTTCCCAGCCTTATCTCAAGTGATTCCTTCACCTGAGTATGCACAGGAGAAAGGATGAAATTCTGGGCCTGGCACAGCTCCGTGCTGTGACTTGGGTTGGGATGGGAGCTGGAGAGAAAAGGAAATAGGGGGAGAAAAATATGGAATAAAAAATACTGATTTCCTCACCCTGTAGGGCTGGAAATGAGGAGCTGTGGTTGTAGGAACTCCTCTCTCTGTATAAACAGAAGAAAATCAGGATATTTGCAAAGATTTCCCATTTAACTGCGGGACAATGAGGCCAAAATCTGCTCCCCCAGCCCCTGATGGAGCAGCGTGCCTGTCCCTGGTGTGAGGACAGGGAGGCACAAAGCCACTGCTCTGTCCTCGCAGGACTTCTCCAGGCCCTTTTCCCCTGCTCACGGGGAAGGGTCTCCCCCTAAAGACTGACCCCACGTCCCAAAGCCTCCCTGCTCTGCAGGGCTTTCTCCAGGCTGGTGGGAGTGCTCAGGGGTTCCGGGACACAGGAACACAACCCCAGGAGTGTTCCCAGCTGGGATGACACAGAAACCTCGCTGCACACCCCCTGTGCCATCCCTGCTCTGCTGGGAAGGGTCCAACAGCGGAGAGGAGAAGAACCTCTGAAGGTTCCTCTGCCCTTCACGTGGAGAAAACCTCTTCCAACATCAGGAACACACACCTGTGAAGGTGAAGGCTGCTGCTCTCCGTGCTCTGCGTGGAGGGAAAGCTCCCACACCCAGAAGGAGAAGAACCTCTAAAGAAGAACCTCACACGCTGCTCTTTGTGCTCCATGTGGAGGAAAACATCCCAACACCCAGAAGGAGAAGAACCTCTAATGGCTGCTGCCCTTCATGTTTCATGTGGAGGAAAATCTCCTTCCAACATCAGGATAGAAGAAGAGCCCTTGCAGGTTTTTGCCCTTCATGCTCCACGTGGAAGAAAACATCCTAACATCAGGATAGAAGAACTACTGAAGATTTTTGCCCTTCATGCTCCACGTGGAAGAAAACATCCCAAACATCAGGATAGAAGAAGAATCCCTGAAGGTTTTTGCCCTTCATATTTCACAGGGAGGAAAAGTGCCTTCCAACACCAGGATAGAAGAAAAACCCTTGCAGGTTTTTGCCCTTCAGGTCCACATAGAAGAAAACATTCCAACATCAGGAAGGAGAAGAACCCCTTGCAGGTTTTTGCCCTTCATGCTCCACGTAGGAGGAAAAGCTCCCAAACATCAGGAAGGAGAAGAACCTCTGAAGGTTTTGCCCTCCTCCACCCCAGACCATCCTCAGCTCCATGGGAAGCTCCTGCCTCTCCCGGGGCACTGTTCTGACCCCTGAGCACCAGAGCTCTGAGCCAGCACTGTTCCACACACCCGGGCATGCCGGTGGGATGCCAGCCGGGGGGACACGCTGGCACTGCCCAGGAGGGAGCAGCTCCTCCCTGCAGGGAGAGCTCTGCTTGCACGAGGCTGAAACGCCCGGATTTTACTCCCTGCACACCTCAGGGAGCTTCCCGCGGGGCCTCTTGGCACAGGGGTGTCTCCCAGGGCAGCCCCACGGCCCCTCCTGCACCCCGGGGCTGCCCCTGTGCTCCAGCTGCTCTGCGGGCTCGGGCAGCCCAAGGAAGGGCAGGTTCCCAGGCCTGCACCTCCTGCACCTCCACACCCCACGGGGTCCTTACCAAAGCCTCCCAGCTGCTCGGGGGACAAAGCTCTGCCAAGATCCTTGGCCGTGTGTCCTGCCCCTCTAATCTGCCCCTGTTCCAAGAGGGAGAGCAGCATTAATGCCAAAAACAGGGATCAGGGTCTGGAAGGGGGGGGTGAGTGGCAGCAGCACATCCAGCTGGGGACTGTCACCTTGGGGACTCACAAGGTGACAAAAATGCTGGCCCAAGCATTGAGGAGCTCAGGGAAACCATCCCACGCTTCCCCAGGGAGCTGGGGATGGAAAACCAAAGCACTGAGGTTGTTAGGATGGGGGTTAGGGTTAAAGTTGAGCTGGAAAAGTGAGCACAGCTCTGTGGTGATGGAGGTGGGAGCTCAGGTGAGCCAGGCTGGGGGCTCAGGGGAGCCAGGCTGGGCTGGGGGCTCAGGGGAGCCAGGCTGGG